GTTGCTTTTTTTGTGTTTGTTGATTTTTAAAAAAAAAATTTGGGGGGGGGAGGGGGGGGTTGTCCCTGCTGAAAAAATGTTGTTCTCTCTTGGCTAACTATTAAAACATCTTTCCGTCGTTATACAATGTGACTATCGAACGAACGAAGGAACGAACTGACGAACGAACCAACTAACGAACGAACAAACCAGCAAACAAACAAATAAATGACTAGCGAGCAAGGCAATGAAATTGTTAATTAACAACAAGAATTTGCACTCGTTATTAAATTTTAAAGTATTACCAGAGAGGTATTACCACGATATCAGTTCCAGTTTCTAGTCAAGGGAAACAACCCGTTAAAAAAAAAAACCAGGCGTAACTGGGATCCATGGATAGTCTTCCCCTTCTGAAGAGGGCTAGAATGGTCAATAAAATTATTCTGTCCCCGCGGTTTTATGCAAAAAGTATTCTGACATTATGCAAGCTGAGCCCAAAAATGTTAAACTATGCGATTTTGTTAATTTGAACGCAGAATGATAAAGGGAGATAATCAGAAATTATGCCCCAAAAAAATATCAAATTTTGCTAAATTATGCGGTGGTTGGCGGTTGCTCTGGTTTGGTTTGCTCCTTCTTTCCTATCAAACATCTATCGTCCTTGTCTCTCCTCCTTTTTTGTGTAAGTTACTCTCTTGTAACACATCTATTCTTCGGCACTTAATATGACCTTATTGTATTGCAAGTGCCGTAAAACTCGCACTGAAACTAAACTCATAAAACCACGGGGACAGGTTATTGTAGGTGTCTTTACGCCCCCATCGACAGAGTTCAGGTCATTTGTAAGGCTGGATGGAACGAAAGATCTGGGGATAAGAATTTGATTTATTGTACATATAAGCATTATGAATGTTTTACGCCCCCCATTGACACTCATTAGAGTTCAATGTATTTGGAAGGCGGGCTTCTTGGATCTCTTCGTCTTTTGTATCTGTCTGTGTGTGTGTCTTGTTGATTCATAACACAAATTCGTGGATAATCATCGGGTGCTCTGGTGTGGTTTGCTCCTTCTTTTTGATCAAACATCTATCCTCCTTACCTCTCCTCCGTAGGGGGTGATTGGTGGGTGCTCTGGGGGGGTTTGCTCCTTCTTTTTGATCAAACATCTATCCTCCTTACCTCTCCTCCTGTTTTGTGTTTGATACTGCCTTGTAACACTTTTAATCTTAGTCACTTATAATTATGACCCTATTATGTTGCAAGTATCGTAAAACTCTTACTAAAACTAACCCACAATCACTCTCATTCTGTTCGTGTGCTTTTCTTTACGTGGGTGGTTGGCGGGAGCTCTCGTGTGGTTTGCTCCTTTTTTCCTATCAAAGATCTATCGTCCTGATCTCTCCTCTTTCTGTTTTATGTTTGTTACTCTCTTGTAACACCTCTAATCGTCCGCAGTTATACGACCTTATTGTGTTGCAAATGCCGTAAAACTCTTACTAAAACTAAAAGCGTTTCTTTACCGTTTACGTAAAACCAAAATAAAGAACCATAGCATCAATAAGTAGAAATGAGCAACCAACAAAATACCCCCTCCCCCAAAAACAACAACAACAGCAAACAAACATATAAACAAGCAAGCAAGCAAGCCAGCAAGCAAACGAACAAACAAACAAACAAACAAACAAACAAACAAACAAACAAACAAACAAACAAACAAACAAACAAACAAACAAACAAACAAACGAACAAACAAACAAACAAACATATAAACAAGCAAGCAAGCAAACGAACAAACAAACAAACAAACAAACAAACAAACAAACAAACAAAACAACAACAAAACAAAAAAGGCAAAAGCAAAAACAAAAACATAAAACAAAAACAAAAAACCAGCAGACAAACTAATCAGGAAAAAACAAATCACGCATGACCCGAAGACTTTCAAATGATTAACGAAGTTATAAGACGTGCAGCGATATGCCTCTGAAGCCAAAGATGTTTCATACAAGTAATTGCAAGCTATTGTTCTCTAGGGTCTACCCTGGTTACTTTTGTAGGCTTCTAGAAATACACAGTTCTGTTAATTAATGAGTTTTTCGACCCTACGAACCAAAATGGGCCACATTGACACATTTAGAGATGTTAAGTGCTGTGTCGTAGTTCACTCCTCTTTCTTTTATTATTTTTATTTTTATTTTAACATAATCGCTTCCTTGTCTTTGTCTATGTGTGTGTGTGTGTTCGTG